TGAGGCTGTGAGGTCTGTGTGGTAGTAAACTCACAGGGTGCAGATCCTGCATCAGGGTGTAGGGACAACAGCAAATTTCTGTGCGAGAGAGTCCCGTGTGTGTGCTTGGTGTGAGGAGACCTCAGGCTTCGGGTGGGTGTTTGCTGAGGTCTGTGTCTGCAGGGCGYTCGCTTTATCCGTTTGCATGTGCCAGCAAGGAGCATGAACAGGGATGCGGTGGCAGAAGCCCTGGGGGCAGGCAGGCTGGGAAATGAGGTCTTTGGAGCTTGAGCTCCTTCTGCTTGCACGCACGTGCATCCGCCCCCGCTGAGAGGCACCTGCGTGCGGGCAGCATGTGTGTGTCCTGCCTGCAGGCTCCTGGGGAAGGTGCCCGGCATGAGCCGTGATCCCAGCAYGTTGGCATGACTGGATTGCTGGCCATGGCGGAGCATGAATGGCACAGAAGTGCTCAGAGCAGCCTCTTTCCAACCATCTTGCTCAATCTGCCTGGTCCAGGCATGACTGGCTCCCAGGGGCAGCGGGATCGGGATGCACAGGGTTGGGGAGCATCCCACAGCAGCCCATGAGCAGCTAGTTAGACAGATCYTTCTAACTGTCACCATGGCTGGTCTCAAAGTGTCCTGGTCCTCAGGGCTGCCTGTGCTACCTGACCTTGCTGGCCCAGTCTTGACAGAGACCCAAGGCTGAGCCCACCAGGCTGGTGGGGACGCTTGTCTTCTTTGGTGGAGTGGGGACTGAACCGAAGCAAGGTTTTCCTCCACCCAGATGCTCTTCAACCTGCTTTATCCATGGCCTGTTATTGTGGTGCTGAGCAAGCTCCCAAACCTTGCCCAGACTCCTTCCTCTTAATGCCAGCACTAGATTTCTAGCAACATTCCTGTGCTCCCCCGACCAGGCTGGGCTCCCCCTTTCTCAGCAGGGCTCTGTCCCAGGCCCAGCCTCTCCGCTCATCTTCTCCTGCTTCCCACCTCAGCCTGCAGTCTCCACATGCTCCAGTTTCCAAGTGTGTCCTGGCAGCCCCTTGCTGCCTTTCCCCACCCCAGCTCCTTATCCTTTGATCCAGTGCCCGATATATAGGGGGTCCTGGCTGGCAGCTGCGCTGCACCGGGTGGCGAATGGGACAGGTGGGGCCAGAGACAGTCCCTGCTCTGCAGCATGGCACCATTTGGAGTCACATTCGACTCCCTCTGTGGGAAGGAGGCGGGTGAAGTACGGCTGCTCTTTCGGGAATGCGAGCATCCATCTGGTGTGCAGAGGGCACGGGGGGCTTGGCACCCAGGAGCTGGCTTGGCCATCAGGTGCCCTTGGAAAAGTAAGAGATGACATTTTCCTGCAAAGGGAAACTTTGTCCTTCACTCTGACCTTGGGGTTGAGCAGTCCCTGTAGAGCAAGCAGCATCCCTTGATCATACAACATCCCCGGAGCTCACTGCATCCCTGGAGCACTCAGCATTCCTGGATCATGCAGCATCCCTAATGCACACAGCCTCCCTGGTGTACATGACATCCCTGGATCATGCAGCATCCCCAGGTCCCTCTGCTCCACTGCAGCTCTCCGCAGAAGCAGGGAACAGTCTGGGCTCTCCTGGTCTCTTTTTCCAAAAGCTGTCTTGCCCTGATCGTGGCAGTAGATATGYGGGATGCTGTCACTGGGGATGCTCCGGTCCCTGCACCTTGTGCCATACTTGCAGCAGTCCAAACTCAGGGGTGACATCCTGAGCTTGGAAGATGGCTTTGTGCTCCCAAGGCATGTTTGCAAGTGACTATTTCACACCAAAAGGCGAAGAGGTCATACCAGGAGATGCAAGGCAAATCCCCTCCACAGCCCTACAAGGGCCCTTAGCAGCCTCTTCCCCTGTGCAAGCAGAGCCCAGCCCCTGGGACAGGCTGTGCCGTGCAGCAGCTCCCTGCATGGGTGGCTCTGTGGCTTCAGCTCCGTTCTCAGCTCTGTTACAAACCTCCAGCACGGGTCGGAGTGTCCCCTACCTGCCGCTGTGTCATCACTGCCTGCCTTTTGGGTGGTCAAAAGGGAACTGCAGCAGCGGGATGAGAAGCACTTGGCCATGCTGACTATGGAGAAGGCTCTCTAGTGGGCAGAGCCTGGTTTGGTTCCAAAGGAGCCTGCTTTGTGTACGCCCCGTACGAGCACTTTCCTAGTGAGCAGTTGTAACAATGCATAAAAGCACAGTTTAATGGCTTACTATAAACCCTACTGAAAGTCAGCAAAGAAAGCGGAGGATTTAGTGTATTCCTCTGCTCTTCCCCACTTCTGCAATGATCTGCCTCACTTCCCTTCTGCAATGCTGGTTGTTTTTGTGGCTCTATTCTGTGATTTAATAAATAGACCTCTGTTTTTACCAAGCTTGGATTTTTGTTTTTCTCTCAAACAGACCCCAGAAACAGGAGGCTAATCCATTCCTCCACATGCTTCTGCAGAGCCAGGAGGCTGTGCTGGCGGGTGCGCGCTCAGGACCTGGCAGGGAGGTGGCACGGGTGCCTCGATGCTGGTGTCACCTCAGCACTTATTGCTGACAGATGCACAGTTAACAGTCTGCCTTTTAAATGCGTGCCACTCTGGGATCTTAAAAGGCAGGCTGGTGCAGAGCAGTCTCCTTGTGCTGCAGTGCCAGGACACCCGCTCCAGCCCTGGCAGGGCAGGAACTTCCCGTGCCGGATCTGCTCCATGCGAGCGCAGGTGGGAACCTATGGCTGCAGCTGGTTCTCATCCTGCAGGACAAGACATGTGGGCAACTCCCCTGCCTGCACGGGAGTTGCCCACATTGTGCCAGCCCTCCTGGCCTGTGGGGACAGGATGGGGGACAGGATTCAGGAGCCAGGTGTGGCAGAGGAGAGGTCCTTGGAGAATCCCTGCTAGGCTGGGTCACTTTGAGCACCCTCCTTGGCCCCCATCCCTCTCTCTGCAGCTGGATCTGTGCAATGAGGACTTGTCTGTGTCCCCCCTGCCCAGAAACCCAGGGCCCTGCCAGGTGCAGCAGCAGAGACCCTGCTTTGGAGCAGGAAGGTCCAAGGTTGCTCTCCACAAAGACCTTAGGGGCTATATGGAAAAACCAGAGACAGGTGGAAAGTGTGGGACGCACAGGCTGTCGTGCTGACTCTCCGCCTTGCAGGAAGGCCTGGGAGGCATCATTAAGGTGCACCCTCCAAGCACCGTGCAAGCCACCACGAGCAGCGAGCAGCACGGGGACACTGGCACCGCTCTCCTTCCCTTGCTGCTTCCCTTTGCATTCCCGAGCCCAGGGGAGGGTGTTAGGCAGAGCCCGAGGCCAGGCGGCCCACGCCAAGCCTGCCAGCATCCCACGCTCCGGGGATCCCTCCGTGCCCGCGGAGCTGCCCCGGCTGCTCCTCGCTTCTCCCTAGTGAAGAATTATGTAGCATGAAGAAACCGGCTCCACCATCTTGAACTGGCAGTGAACTTTGCTTTCTACATATAAATACAGATAGCAATCACACCCCAATCAGCACACAAGCTTCAGGGCATCATCACGGCAACTCTAACTTTCCCATTACGATAATGTGATTTTCACTCAGTCTATAATATCACCAGCCATGAATAAAACAACTGGCTTTCCCTCTCTCTCCGTCTCTCTCCCTTCCCTCTCTTCCCCCCTCCCTCGCTTCCTCTTTCCCTCTCCCCCTCTCCCGGATCACAGTCTCTGCATACTAATGATGGCTCCGTACRGCTCCCCGGGTACCATCTCTGGCGCAGGGAGGGCCAGGCTCCGGCTGCATCCCTGCACCTCCCGGGATTGTCACAGGGCCATCAGCTCCCTCTCACCCTCTGGGATAGATGAATCCCGGCTGGATGGGGAGGCAGATGCCGGTTTCTTCTCCTGGTGGCAACCTCCTCCCTGAGCAGGGCAAGGATGGAGGTGGCTGGGAAAAGGGGGTGTCTCGGTGCCCCATGTACCCAGTTTTTGCCCCATTCGGAGTCTCTGTGGGGTGTGAGTTGTGTCCATCCTGTCCTGGGTGCCTTGAGCAGCTCTCCCTTGTGCTTCTGCCAAACTACTGCTCTAAGCCCTGCTGATTTGGAGTCCTCAGCGACGTGCAGAGGCTGCGTCTAGGAAATGATCCAGCTGAAAACAGCCCTATCCCAGAAGAATGATTCATTCCCAGTTCCTGAACCGAGCTGAACTGTCCCAGCACTTCCAAGGGACCCTCATGGATTTGCTGAGATCCTTCTGAAAAACATCAGGTGGGATCAGATCCATACCGTCGTGCATCCTCACACAGCCAGTATTGGGAAAGGTTGTCACAGACGAGAAAATGTTTTTGCAGGGTTTTAGATAACAGCTCTGCTAAGGGTTCTGCTCATTTTGGGGCTCCAGAACTGCATCCCCATGAGGCTAAAAACTGCCAGAAAATGCAGCTGTCTGGTTTCCATGATTTGCAGCACGCAGAGCATCCCTGTGCAGGCTCTGGTGCAATGGGAGCTCCACCATGCCCTGTGCTCCGCCTCCAGCTCCAGTAGATCCCCTGGGCCTGCTCTGTGCACCCTTCGGCACCCTGTTGGCATGGGCATGGCACAGAGGGGAGGGGTCCAGTGTGCTGGAACTTAAGAGATGCTGTTTGACTTTCTCATTTTTAACTGCCACACTAAGGCACAAGCACTGGGAAAAGTCTGGAGTTTCCAGAATATGTCAATCCAAGGTGCAAAGCCAAAGCTGGGGTTCACTCACATCCTCCCCACTTGGTTTTCCCGTCAGCAAAACTTTCACTACAAGTCTATTTTTGGGGGAGATTGATGACTTGAAGTGTTACAGAAGTGTCCAACCTCAAGCTCCACACCATAGCCAAGACACTGTCCCTTTAACTCCTCTACACCCAGTGCTTTGATTAGGGTTATTATCTCAGGATGGGTAATTAATTCCCTTGAATATCAGCAGCTGGTCCTGGGTGTGAGCAATGCTGGGAAGGAGGGAGGGGACAATTGGGTTATAAGGTGCAAGAACAGGTGCCTTTTTGGGACTGCAATGGTCAATACTGTGAAAGCCTGGAAAACCTGCTGCAGAGGAGAGAAGCCTGTTGGTCTGGTGTACCTCCACTGGGCATGGGTGCAAGGGTCTGTCATGCTCACTCCTCCCCACCAAGGGCTCTGGTGCTGGGATATTGGGTGCTTTGGGGTTTTGGAGACAGTTGGGTTCAGTCCTCAAGTGTTGCAGCTGCCTTGGCCTCTCCTTGAGCAGCTGGTGGCAATAGCTTCCTCCCCTTCCCTGCCGAAAAGCAGAGCAGAGCTTCTCCAAACAGGGCAGGCACCTCTGCTAGTTCATCCCAATGCGGTTCCCTCAAAGGGCTTGCTCCAAATGGCAGGGGACATGTCCCCAGGTTGGTGACAAATCCATTGGAAATGGATGGGTGTGTAATGGAGGTACCTGCTGGCAGGGCTACCTGGGAGATGCTCTTATCTGTCATCTGATTTATCCAGGTTAAAAGGCTGTGATCAGTCACCAAGGTAGATTCATTTCCCAGTAAATAGTGCCCGAGGGTTTCCAGGACCTATTTTACTGCTAAGCACTCTTTCCAATGCTTGAATACCTTTGTTCCCGATGGAGCTATAGCTGGCTGATATATATATATGATATGGGAAGTCCCTGTGACTTTTTTATTTTTGCTCTGCACAGCTCCTGGCCTTGTCTTAACTGCTCTGGACTGTACAATGAATGAGCTGTCCAAGGCTTCCCATTATTTGGAGGTGAGTTCAGCTGAGACCACTTGTGCCTTCCAGGAGCCCTGCCCCAGTGAGACGGACTCAGTGCAAAGCCTGGAGAAGGGAGCTGTGGGGCAAAGAGGAGAGGTTTGAGAAGGGAGGGAAATGATGCTCTTAGAGCCAGCAGGGCTCTGGGGTGGGGATGCTGGGTTTGAGCCCAGCTCTCCTGCTTTTCCTGTCATCATTGGGGCGCTTGGAGGTGTTGACAGAGCTGGGCAGGAGGGATCGTCGCGCTGTGGTGGTGCACACTGACTTGCTCTTGCTGCACCTACCTTGGGGAGGGCTACTGAACTGGGGGAAACAGTGACCAGGGCTATGAATAAGGTTTTACTTTCCATCCCTATTTTTGACTTACCTTGCTCTCTTCCTTTTTCACTTCCAAACAACAAAACTGCCCCCCAGAACTCCTATGGGCTGCCATCCCCAGCCAGGCCCCCACAGCCAGCACTGTGTCCTGCCCTCTCCCTGGAGCTATCCCAGGCTGGGTGAGAGCTGGCAGCTCTTTCCTCCTGTTCCTTGTTCTTCTCCTTTCAGTTACCTCTCATGCAGGTGCATGAGATTTGGCTGCTTTCCTTCTTATTTCCTCTTTGACGGACCTCTTATGTTGTTCATCATCCCAAATCGGTTGGTTAACTTCCTCCTGCCCTTCCCCATCCTCTCCCACTCCTCCTCCCCCTAATTAGATTTAGAGTGAAGGGCTAATAGAGTATTACTGCGAGGGACTAGGCAAGCTTCCCAAAGTGCTTACCTAAGGGGAGAGCACTTTGACTAATAGATGTGTGTTAAGGCAATTCATCCTCATGGTCCTGAGAGCTGGAGTGTGGGTGGGTGAAGGGCCCAAGGCAGGTCTCAGTGTTACTCTGGGTTTCTTGACGGGGCTTCCAAAGTATGTGACACATAGACCATTACTCCTCTCAGGTGCAACCTGGGATGAATTTTAAGTCTAACTTGTCCTTTAGTTACACCTGGGATTTGGCTCTCGAAAGGTGGGGAATGGTTCCCTGTCAGGTGTATGTAGGAGCTCTCCTGCTTTGGGGAAGGATTCTTTTTCTCTCAACAAAATGCTTGTGCAGGGCATTCAAGGCAAACAGAACCGGGTGATATTTAAGTGAATAGTGATTTTTTTTTAAGTGAAAGTGGTGCTTTGAGCATTGAATCATGCAAAGGTGCCTATCTTGGGCATCAATAGATAGGGGGACAGCAAAAAAGAGCAAAGGGATCTATCCTTGTAGTACAGAGCACTTCCAAAGCGACTACATACCTAGACCTTCCTCTCAAAGTGTTTTGACTTATTTTTTTTTTTTTTTTTTTTTTTCCCCTCCCGGAGGTGCTTTGCCTTTAAAGCAGCCTGTGCATTTTTCCAGTGGCCTTACCCAGCACTGGAGAATGCTGAGCCCTGTTCCCAAGCCTGGTGGTTTCCCTGGTGAACCAGCATTGCAGAGGGAGGCTGGAGCCGTGCAGGAAAACAGCCCCGTTGCCTGAGCCCTAGGGACATGCTGGGATGGTAGGCAGTGATGATCAATTGCTCTGTCCCTGTGGTTGTTTTTTTTTTTCCCTTTGAACTTGTGCTAGGGCGCAGAACCGATTGGATCAGCCTGGCAGCCCATCACCAATGTCATCTGCAACCTTCAAGTGCTTTGCAGCTTAATCTCCTTTGGACCCCCGGAGGGCATCACGCTGACATTTTAAACCTTGTAAATGGCAGCAGCACTGGGAGGCACCGGGAGGAAAGCCAAGCGCTTCAGGAAGATGCAGGCACAAACCTGCACATATGTGATTGCTGGTTAGGGGTATGGGGGCCCCTAAACATGGGAAAGGAGCAAGGGGAGCCTGGTGGAGGTGTAAAACCAGGGATGGGCCAAGGTGACAGAAGAAATGGAAATGAGGAATAGGCTTTCTGTCTGTTCCTGGCTTGGTTTTCTGATCAACAGTGGCTCTATAAAGGAGATATGTACCTTGTTACCCATCCTGGTTCTATCCCTGCGTGACAGGATGGACTCAACTCATCTAGCTTTGCTTGGCCTAAAGCCAAGGCTTGTTTTGGCTCATGTGGACTCCTGGGACTCTCCATGGGGACATCCCAAGGGAAATAGACTCCATGCGGCCAGACTATCACCCACGTGTAGGGAGTGATGCCCAGGCTGTGCCTCTTCCCCTGGCCAAGGGCATGAAACCACCAAGTTCTGGCACTTATTCCCATATACCCCACCATCAGGGAGGAGGAACCGTAATCTTCCTCGCGAGCCGGCCACCGCTCGCTCCCTCGCTCAGCAAGGGCGCAGCGCGGGGTCACCCTGTGGTGCTCCCGCCGGGAGGAGGCCTTTCCGCACCCGCAAACCCCTAGTGAAAGACAATCAGGCTCGCTGTCACCAAGCTAATTCCGATGGCATAAAAGCAGTAATGAAATTCACGGCAGGATTAGCCTCTCCATCCAATGGGCCGGCGCCACAGTGACATATCGTGCTTCTTGCCCGAATGTAACACACCATCTAATTTACGTCGTGTAGCGAGCGGGAATGAAATGTTCATAAAGAATTGCTGAGTCTTGTCACCTTAACTGCGGCCCCGGGCTCTGAGGCATCTGTCAGGGAGAGCAGAGCAGAGGAGGTGGCTCCCTCCTCACAAAGCTGCGGCCAGGGCTTTGGGAGCAGGGAGATGGTTGTGCTAAATCTTCTGGGTCTGGTAGCAGAGACAGAGCATGCAGGGATGAGGACCCCTGGATGGATGGGGCTGCTCTGGATGAGGGGGGCTGTGGGACTCCCTTGTATCCGTGAGCCTGCAAACAAGGCTGAGTGGGGCTAGTGGTGGGGACAGGGCTCCAGGCTCTTTAATCCTCCCTTCAAAGGGATGTAACTACAGGAGGGAAAGGATCTGTGCTGGTGCATGGATAAGGGGCAGCATTCCTGGAGATCCATGTGCTTGCAGCCAAATACGAGCGACCATCTCCAGGTTAGGCCCCACTTACTGGCATGTAGTGGCCAACAACCACGAGCATTTCCCATCTTGGGAAGTGTGTGTGCATGTCCCTCCTGCTTTGGTTCAGCAGTGCTGTCTCCCCCTCCTCCCTTCCTCAAATGTTTATTTGCAGTTAATTTTCCCAGATCCTAATGGCTTGGATCCTGCTAGGGGGGATCATGCTTGCCTCTTCAGTCAGAAAGTTTGCAGAAAAAAATAGCCCTTTCCTGTTGTGTTTGGAGTAATAGCGTCTCGGTGTCCGGAGGGGAGTTGGCAAGGAAACAGGGAAGTTTATTAAGAGTAAAAGATTGAATTCCACCGGGTTTAATTGGAACTGCTTGAGCAAGCTCCGTCCTGCCTGTCCCCCTGGAATCGGCACCACCGGCTCCATGTGTGCTGGGGACAGAGGTACCTGGCTGCTTGGAATAGGGACAACCTGCTGATGTCTGGGTGCTTCTGTGGCTCTGCCACCCCATTGCCTGACAGGGTCCCCTTGCTTGCRGGGATTTATCCAGCTTGTCCTTGGTCCCTCCTCCATCAGCAGGAGGCAGGATTCCAGTAAGGGACCTCTCTGTAGATAGAGGCAGGTTGGGAAGGGTTTGGCTCTGAAATAGCTGCAGAAAAGTGCAAAAATTTGGGCGTTTGTCTTGCTCTGGAAGCCTAAGCTGGCTTGGTGTGTGCACCTCAGAGCAAGAGAGATGTGGATCCAGTCCCTCTTGCTCTGACCCAATCATTTCTGTCACAAAAACCTGCTGGGTTTTATCCCAGAGCACAGAAAGCTGAGTTTTGGCAAGCTCATCACAGCCCAGGGCTTCACAAGGGCTGCACAGTGTATGGTGTGTGGCAAAGTGATTTGCAGCTTGGGTAGAGATTTAGGAAAAGTTTAAATTTGAGTGGCCTGCAGTGATTTCTTGTGTTAAAAGGACCAGGGAGCAAATTTGCTCTTAGTCCCATACCGTCCTTCAGGGTGCTGAGTGATTTCTGTGTCTGATTCCCCACGGATGAACCCATCCTGTGTTTCCCAGCTTGGGGACTGGGTCCTTCCACCTGCAGAACAAGCCCCAGCATCTTTGGCTCTCTGTAGTGCTGGTCTTTGTGTGCAAAGCAACATAGAAATGTGCCTTTGTGGCTGCAAAATAATCCCAGAGTGGATTAGTTTGACCCTCCTTTGGTGAGACCCTCTTATGCCCAACAACACGGAGCTGAAACAGGTGGTAAATATTTTATTYGCTGACCAAGGCAAATGTGGGCTCACAGAGATGATGCTGAGTTTCACCTTGAATTTGGCTGATTGCTCAGCTGAAAACAAAACTTCCAAATTAAAGAATGGCTCTAAATAATTTATTACCTTATTTACTTTAATTTTAAAAACTGCTTCCCCTTGAATTAAGATACATTGCTTCCAATTAAATGTTTTATTAAACCTAAAATTAAACTTTTGGGGATTGGGGAAGGAAGACTCTTTAATTTGGCCCAAATCCTGAAAACTACCTTTTCCCATTGTTTCACTTAGGAACTGTGGAACAAAAGCAACTGAACATCTCTGAAATGCTGGTTTTCTTTCTGCTCCCACTCATCTGGGAGGCCGGTGGGTTTTTCTCTCCAGGCGCTCCTGGGACGGCATGTGGCTGCATTTGCAAACCCACAGAGAGGACATCTCAAAATCCAAACCTCACAGGAATAGAGTTAAATCCAAGCACTCTGTGGCTATTAAGCTTTGCAAAGTCTTTTGTCTCTGCAGTGTCACTGTGTGGGTGAAATCGCCCTGGTGACTGGCACCATCTCTAAACAGAYGAAAAGCAGGAATTTCCTAGGTGCAGCTCTATACAGCCTTGTCCTACTTGTGTATAGCCTGCAGGACATTTGGAAATATATACATGCATATATATGTTTTAAACATTTTTTTTTGGTTGGACCTCTGTGTTGAGACTCCTGAAGGTGGGATTTCAGATGTGTGCTATACCCTGGGTTCCAGATGTGACCTTTGCATCTGATAAATACACAATAAAATAATGTCTACTTTTTGTGATCCTGCCCACACAGAGCTTTTCTGCAGGTTAATGCTAGTTTGATGTCCAGGCCGCAGAGGTCAACAGAACAGGCAGCCTAGCATATGTGGAAGTGTATGCAGGCTGAGATAGTCATGAGTTTGCTAGTTCTCTGGGGCAGAGCAATCTGCTTTGTCTGCACTGCACCTAGCAGGGTGGAGAATTTCTAGGGTCTGGCTGGCCCCTGCACATCAGTGTCAGCATTTGGCAATTTATGAGGGATTGCTAGGGACCTTGCAGCTCCCTAGATACTCGCATAGCTATGTATAAGTGCATAGACCCTTAGTGTCCTGTGTCCCTTAGAAGCAGGGAGAAGTCTGTGCCGCTCAGTTTAGGAACAACCTCTGCATGGACTGGTTGGTGTCATGGGGCTGCTTCTCCTGTCCTTCCTCCGAGTGGGTGAACTGCTGCTGGAAAAGGGACCTCCCAAGGGGCTGTGCTAACTCCAGTTGCTCTCGGGTGTTGGGTTCTTGTCAGAATGTGATTGTTTTTTGGACCTGCAACCCCTAATGGCCTCCCCAGCCCTCCGAGGTGCTAGAGGAGCGACAACCRCTGTGGCGAGCGGGCACTCGCCGGGCAAACTCTCTTATGTAGCTACTACGTAAGTCAAGTGTATTTACAGGAGACCTCGCTGCCTGTAACTTAAAGCTTTAGCGAAACAAATTGGAATTGCCTTCTGGAGGCCATTGTTATAAATTACAGCCCCAACATCTGTCCACATCTGCAACGTCTAGACAACCCGTCTCGACTCGGGGAGCGAGGCGCGGGGCTCACTCGGTTCCCYGCTGCCTTTGCACCCGCTGGAGCTCGGGTCCGTCCAGAAGGGATTTCCAAGGGCAGCTGAGGCGGGGAGCCAGCGAAATCTCCCTCCACCTTCCCCCCTTGCAGCCCGTGGACTGACACCACCAACAAATTTGGTGCTCGGGTGCCGCCGCCTTATTTATGGCGTGTTGGAGGCTGCGAAGGAAGGCAGCGCCTTCAGGCAGGCTTGTTCCTGTCTCGCCAGCCCCGCTGCAGCTCTTGCTTGCGATAAAGAGGCCGGGCCGTCAGCTGAGCGATTGCGTGGTGGGTTTTTTTTTTTTTTTTTACAGTTCCTAGCGCAAACCATCTCATTTATATGTAAAGTAGCCATTAGTCATAGCTCTGTTCCCTCACACTGCCTGATGTACAATCACATTTTGCAGTGGATGAATCTTTCCACACAGCTGCTCTGCTATGAATAATCCGTTGCTGGGTCCATAAATCAGAAAAAAATCATGCACCTCCTTTGCCTGATCCTTACACAAAATCATATATTTTACATGAGGACAAGCTAAATATTCATGAGGCTTTAAAAGGCTTTTTTTTGACTACGAGGGGCTGTTTTTGTTCTGGTGGGTCAGGCTGGGTGGGTTTGCATTTGGCTTTTTTTTTTTTGGCTTAATAAAGAGAAATCTTTCTTTCTCCTTTGCTACCGTTTCAGGTAGCAACAGCAAACCCCCYGGTGATGCTTGTCTGGGATTCTCACGTGTGCCAAAGGCCTGATGAATCCGTCATTGCTGCCATATCAAGGACAGGCTGACAGAAGGTGTTGCAGCCACGGAGGGGTCCCGGTGGCCTGGGTGTGCAGGGAGGTGGCCAGGCCTCAGCTGCCTGCACCAGGAGGTAAAGCAGCGCCCAGCACTGTGCGTGGGGAACCAGGGCTGGGGCCGGGCGGGTTGTGAGTGGGGTGTGCGTGGTTCTGTATGGATCCCTGTGCGTGCACAGCCCGGCAGGACTGCCTGGGGCTCTGCAGTAGGGGCGAATATTCTCTCAATGAGTCCCCTTGTCCCAGGACTTTGCATTTCTCATGGCATCCCATAGTGCTCTGACCTTTCTGTCCAGCGTCTCCAATAGTGGTGATGGTGCCCTGCAAACAGYGAGAGTCCCTTATGCCTCTGGGCACAGACATGGGGTTGTTCACCTGTGGAACCGGTACCTCCCCATCACAGAAAGGGACCACTCTCATCCTGTCCTCCCCGGCCCTGGGTGCAATCCCCATCCTCCCTCCCGCTTCCTCTGGCATTTATCTGATCACAAGAAAAGCCAATTCTCCTTGCCACTGAAGAAATGCTTAGTTTGTATTCCCTAGTTGTTATTCTTTCCTGCCACTGTAATGAATTAAAAGAGCTCACCGTGCTGGCAGGTGGGCATCAGAACCAGCTCAAGGGGCAAGTGGAAGTGGGTGGAGGACAGAGGTGAGTGATGGAGGGCAYGGACCCTTTGCAGCAGCGTGAGGCATGAATTCAGCTTGACTTTTAATGTGAACCCACAGCCTGGTTCCTCTGAGGACAAGCCTCCCGTTCCAGGCACTACTGAGCCAGCCTAGAGCAACGGCTCTATATGCCTGGACTTATATCTAACTCATCCCCTCCATATCACTGTCCTCACATCCCTTGTTAGCTCCAGCTGAGGGGCACTGTCCCATCCAGCCCCACGGTGAACATACTTCATGCTCTGTGGTCTTRGTCGCGCTCCGGGTGTCGCATCCCTGTCTTGTGCTTGGCAGCTTCTCCCGCTCAGGAGCTCTGACTCCACTGGGCTTTGTCGGGGTGTTCAGGGTTGCACAACGCAACCGCATTAAGGGCGGATATTTGCCACGGCTGCAAATATCCTGCAGGGCAAAGGGAATAGGAAGAGACTCTTACACCAGTCATCTCCCCTCCTTTTGCTTCCTTTGGTTGTAACTTGGAAAGAAAAAAAGAAAGGCAGGAGACTGCCAAAGCAGAGGAAAACAAGGCCAAACACTCACAGATGGTGAGCCCACAAATTTAATTTAAAATAATCCTTTATTATTCAAAATATTAAAATTCAGGCAACAATGCCCAAAGGAACTGCGCTGATTAAAGCTCCCTAATGTTTCAAGGCCAAATCTTGCTGTTTCCTCCAAGGGTCACTGGGACAAGAAGTGAAACCCCTCTGGAGTGCCGAAGAGGCAGGGCTGTACCTGCTGTACATCGTTTAACCAAACACTCACTTACTGACCCAATCTGCCTCACTTAAAGCAAAGCACCAGCTGTTCCTTACCCAATTAATGATTGCCACAGCAAATTAACATGGCGTTACACCAGGCGTGGATGTGGTCCACAGAGCCTGGAATGCACAGAGCAATATGCTATTGCAAAAATAATCACAGTAATATCTTTACTGTTAGGTAGCATCCTTCATCTGGAAGCTCCCTGTGCGCTCTACGGCTTGCTTCATGCAGCAGACACTGTAGCGAGGGTGTTGAGTGCAGGAAGGGAAGAATATGTTCTTAGTTGAATGGTGGGTAGCAAGAGCTGGCCAGGGGATAAGAGAGCCAGCACTCAGCACACATATCTGGCTCTTGGTTCCTATAAAGTAAATGAAATGTTATTTATTTGGTTAAGAATTTGCTGAACTTGAGGTGTCCCTTCCTTCTCCCTAGCCCACTRTTGACCTCTCCAGTGTCTCTACTGCCTCTACTAAGGAAAAACTTATTTACTGCGAGAGTAAGAGAGCAGCGGAGCAGGTTGCCCAGAGAGGTTGTGGAATTTCCTTTTCTGGAGATATTCAAAATCTATCTGCACAGAGTCCTCTGCAATGTGCTCTAGATGACCCTGCTTGTGCAGGGGGGTTGGACTAGATGATCTCCACAGGTCCTCCCCAATCTCAACCATTCTGTGATTCTGGTGGTTGTATAAGAGAATAACTGAGTTCTTCTCGCCTTCCACCAAAGTCAAGTCCACTACCTAAACACTGACTGTCATTTTGGCACCACTACAAGTCTGTGTTTTTCCTGACCCAGCAAAGTTAACCCCTATAAGTTGCAATCCAGATAGATCAATCAGCCTAAAGGGCGTTGGGACAGTGGTATCTAGTGCTGAAACATTACACATTTCAATCTTCCTACAATTAAGCTAGCATTAAATGCTATTGACAAATAAACCAGGCGATCAAAGCCCTTGAGCTGCTACAAAAAGGATCCATTTACACCCCAGCCAACTGCATCGTTCCTGCAGGCAGGAGTTGAGCCCCAGCAGCCCCCAGCCACCCCCAGCACAGCTACAGGAGCTGTCCCGCGGTAATTACAGGACTCAAGGTAATTACTGTTATTTCTATAATTGTGGTAAGTGTTTTTAGTGCTGTCAGCAGCCTGGAAAATGCCCAGGCCTATTACATACAGGCCAGCATTTCATCTAGGGCTTTTAGCTTGAACTATGATATGAAGAGTGTGGTGGGGCAGTCTGGGAATAGCAGCCCGTGTCCTGGTGACCTGGAAGATCTCTTAGGAAGGTTTGAATGTCTTGAGGCTTTACAAGGAGGCCAGAAGGTTATCCCTGCCTCTTGCTAGTATCGAGTCTAGATATGAAAAAGTGAGGAGCCAGCCCTGGTCCCTGGTGGGGCCACGTTGTCCTGTTACCTCTGCTGGGTGATTTGATGGAGGACACAGCTCTACCATTGGGTTATGATATGTCACCCAAGGCACATGTCCCTGYAAGGGATTCAACACTCTGCTCTTTTTCTTTCTCTTTTTCTCTTTATCTTTCTCTGATTATTCTATATAGACATAGGGATATGAATAGGTGTTTTAAGAGGATGAKGAAAAGGATTGGTGCACAGAATATGGCCACTGAGTTTTGCTGACAATAATTGCTTCCTATTTCATACCAGGSAAAAATAAATACAGCAGGAGCATCCTTGGCTCTTAACTTTTGGCCTCAGTACAGGTTGTGATAATGGATTCATGCTGCCAGTCTCAGACACACAAAAATCACGATTTGGACYTCGAAATCTGTGAAGCTGGCTTTGAAATCCTGACATTCCTTTTAAACGACTGGTTTTGAGAGTCCCCTATTTGCTTCACATCTCTGGATCACAGCACGAATGCCAGGTCACATTTAAGATCTCCTCTATGAGCCTCAACAGCTGGAAGTCCCATGTTCTGATATAATTGCAGGTGCTCTGAGAAAAAATACGGTAAAGCCGAAAACATTATTCTTAACAAATAATCTCTTCAGAAATTTATGCATCAGAATAATGAAATGTATTAAAAATTGCTTTTAAAAAATAACATTTAGTATTATATATTTCCTCATAGATGAACTCTGTCATTTTAAAGTTGTTTTTTTCCTACAATCATGAGGRCTAGAAATGCCTTTTCATTGTAAAATAATTTCTGTCCCCTCTGTCACATCGATCCCATACTTGTCAGCACTCCAATGTTATGGGAAATGCCAGATATGGGAAGGGTTGCTGTCATAAGAACTGGCAACAGATGGTAGATGGGTCCTGGCTCTGATTATCAGGAGATGCTGGTATCATTCCTGCAACATGAAGCAGTATTTTATAGGTCAAACAGCAACAAAGAGAGCTGGTTTAGGTTGCACATTGGCAAGAATATGCTGAGTTTGTGGCTTCTAGATGGGAAGAAAATGAAGGCACCAGACTTAAGATGCAGCAACAGAAAGACTGAGAGTGTAAAGCACCCACAAATGAAGTAGGAGACAGTGCTTAGTACAGAGAAAGGTAAAATATTAAATTAAAACATTAGTGGTTTAATTAGTATTAAAGATACAGGAAGTAATTGTTCTTGGTTGCTCCATGTATGGTGGTTTTGGCTTTCAGGCACGCTGTAAAAAATGTAGACAAGCTGCARGAGGTTAGACAGAATGGACAGAAACATGAGGATGGGGCTGACGAGGAGTAACTGGATCTTGTCTGGTGCCCAACAGAGAAAAGAGGGATGGGGAGGATGTGGTAGACACCTTTCAGCCTATGTAAGTTGCTGTGACCGCGATGATGTCAAATTACTTCTCGTTTGCTGCTTTATACAGCAAGAAGAAACGGRTGCAACTTTCAAGGAAAAGAGATCTAGCTTCATTATTAGAATAATAATAAAAGGTGCAGGGGCAGTGCAGCACCGTGTTCAGGGATGAGTTGTCCTTACAAGAGGATTTGGCTGCAGGATTTAGCCGGGTATCCCTGGCGGCCGATGCCAGGCGGCTCCGGTGCCGCAGACTTCCCAGCTTCACGTTCCCCTGCCAGGAGGCAACAGGGACCCGCTCGACCCGACTCTCCCTCCAAAGACACCAACCACTTCTGGTACCAATTACATGGATATATGCGCTATACCTATACATGCCGCTGCCCAGGATTCATTTTAGACGGTATTTGGGGCCGTATCAAAACAAGCAGTAATTGCCCTAAAAACCAAGCACTCCCACGCACCGAGCGTGGCCACAGCAAGATAAAACAATTAAGGAAACTTTTATTGGCGCCATAAATCGCAGGTAAGCAGCTGCACAGGCACTCCCAGGTGCCGTGGCGCCCCGGCGATCAGCYGCAGGCCAGAACACGCCAAGTGGAAGCCGAGGTCCAGCCGGGGGATGTCTGCGGCTGTGAGGCCCGGGAAAAGGGCCCCTGTCCCCTCGTCCCCCGGCCTCCAGCTGCACCCGCCACAGCCCTCTCCTACTACAACTCCCATCAGCCCCTGCTGCCCACCSGCGGCGCCTGCGCCAGCCGGCTCCCGGCGTGCCCCTGGCCGCGGAGCCTTCTGGGCGTTGTAGTTAACATGCCCCTCTCAGGCCCTTGCCGTGATCTCGGCCGGGGACTCCATTTCCCGTGGGCCTGCGGGCGGCGCATGCGCCGCGCCGGCAGCGGGGCGAGGTGGAGGGTGGTGGTAGCGGGGGGCGCAGGTTCGTGGCTGCGSTGGCTGCGGCCTGGCACTGAGGGAAGGGGCGGCCGCAGCCCCGGCTCCCGGCCCGGCGGTGGCGGCGGCGCAGGACTATGGACCCGGCCGAGGCCGTGCTGCAGGAGAAGGCGCTCAAGTTCATGGTGAGGGGCCGCGGCGGCGGGTGGGGGTCACCTGCGCGGCGGCGGGAGGCAGGGGAGGCCGCGGGGAAGGGGAGCGGGGCCGGGGGGGCCGCGTTGGCGCTGGGGGCAGGCGGCGGGGGCGACGTGCGGGGGTGCGGGCGCCGCAGGGCTCGGGGGGAGCCCAGGCCRGGGGGAGCGGGGCCCGCGGGGCTTCTCCTTCCACGCGTGTCCCGCTCCGCAGCGCGCAGCGGCCCCCGCGGCCTTCCTGCGTGGGCCGCCCCGGGACCCCGCGCCTGCCAGGGAGCGCCCCGATCCCCTGGGCTTGCGAGGGGGCTGGGGCTGGAAAACCCCCTCGTGTTCGCAGCCACGGCGCCCTGCGAGTGAGGCCGGCCCGCTCCGAGTGCACCTAAAACATCCTTTCCTGTTTCCATCTCTATTTTCTTTTCCTTAAAAAAAATCATTTATTGATGTTTTTGCGTGTTTTGGCTAGAAACAGTAGGATTTGGAAAATGAAAACCAGTGCCAGCTGAACTGGCYGTTAATTTTACGTGCCCCAAACTGCCCTCTCCTTATAGATATTGTTTATATGACTGGCAGCGCTTGGCTAAAAGTTGATTCTGCATTAGGGCTTTCTGTGGCGTAGAATTAAACCTAAGCTTATAAAGAAGAAGCAATTCTATTAAATTATCAGACCATATGTCCAAAATGAAATTGAAGACTTGCTAGTTGCAAGTTTTAACTTTTAATTGCTCTTTAAGGTACTTGCTTGGCTTCTGGCTTTTAATCTTGTAGAACCTGTTTCTCCTGAGACTTTTTGACCTTTTGCTAGTTTTCTTGAAGTTTTACARATTTATAGAGTTTCAGGTCAATGAAGTGGGAAATTCTGGGGATACCTAAGTAGGYAAGCTAGGAATTTCTAACAAATTATTCTCGGTGTTGTGTGATTGGCTGTAGGAGTGGGCAAGGTCCTGGTCATTGCAATCAGCATTATGACATTATATTATATGATGCGTTTCATATCCCAAAAAGTTTCTGCTGAGAAGGTGCTGTCTTGCACCAAAGGACACTATAATCACATTATGCTGACATCTTCTATGCTGCTTTCTTTTTTTTTTCTGCACCCTATGCAAAAACCCAAGGACTTATTCCATGCACTTGAAATCCTCTATAGGATTGGGCCTGGCTACCTGAGGGAAATTCCTGTCCATCTTGCAGCTGCCTGTGATCCACTCACAAATAAAGCTCCTTGGCACTAGGAACTGAGAGCAGCCTACAGGAGCTGTGGGCCCTTGAGATGAAGGAATGATCAAGGGTCAGGCTGCACTGGATGCTTAAAGCTTAGCCAAGTTCTTCAGTGTTTTATTATAAAAATCTCCTGTACACAGAACACATCTAAAAAGCATCTAAAAAGCTCCTCTCTTTCTTCTCAACCATTTAGCATTTTTGTTTTGATTATAGCTTGAGCGGAGAGGGGGGTGGGAAAAAAAGCTCTGTTTAACACCTTTTAAGCTTTTGCTTTCACACACATTTCTATAGTTCATGACTCCCACTTTAGTCATGTTGTGAAAGTAAAGTTTTTATTTGGACATTTTGTGGTCTTTCGGTCTTCGTTTGCAGTTTGTGGCCGTGCGACACAGATTGTTTCGATAGGTAGAATTAGATTAACTGTAAATATCAGCTTGGCTGTGCTGGAAAAGCCCCTTGTTGTGTCTGCATTTTGACACTAAAAAAAAGTCTTTAGGTACTGCAGTAATAGCACTGATACAGTTACCTACAGAGATTGGCTAGCGCATCCTCACAGCTAATGCTGAATCATCCACAGTGTATTATCCTGCTCACCCAACTGTGTGATACACTTCACATATTGTTTTCTTCCTACATGGGTCACTGTTTAAAGTGGGCTGTGCTGTTAATTATTGATTTTCTTTTTTCTTTTTTTTCTCCTTCTTTCTTTTTTTTTTTTTTTTCCCAAGTGCCAAGATATTTCATCATCGTTAATATTCAGATATCCCTTATAGGGATGAGACTGCTGCCATCTTTCCAGCTTTGGATGTTTTTGTTTATGATACACATTTCAGCTCAGTTTCATTTCATGCTGGAGGCAGCCTGGTAGGTGGTAATATTTTTGGCCTTTTCTAGCAAAAATAATAGTTTTCCCACTTAAAAATATCTGTGCATAATTTTTGGTAGCGWCTTTGAGCTGCTCTCTCAAATCACAAGAYATCAAGTGAGAAAGATCTGAWTTTTTTTTTTAATGTCTAGCGCTAACAGAAAATATGTGGAAATTTCAATCTATGTTAATTTTATGTATGAAGTGGATTCTTTTAAGGAAATGACAATTTTATTTCTTATTTTGCAATCCAGCCTGTGTCTGACTCTTTGAAGTACAAACTGAGCTGTTTTTTCTTTTTCCTTTTCCTGTTTGCTCATGTCTATGGCTACTTTTTGATGGAGAAAAGGAGTCTTGCTTTTGTTGGCTGGTTTTGGCTGGATTACCATGAATGGTGCTTAAATGGTATTTCATTGGCAAATATTCACTCTCAGTTTCAGTAGCTATCCATGTTTAGGTGCAATACATATAATCTAATACTTTCAGGTTTAAGTAATTTATTTAACTATTGCCTATTCAGGTTACCTGTGCATTTGAAGAAGGCCTAAAATTTATTTCCATTATTAAGCTGCTGTGCATTAGTGTCATGCAATACCAAGCAACTCCTCACCAGTGATGACTATTTACCCTTGCATGGGTGTTTTCAATCATGCARGCTCTATGGCCTCTTGCAAAGTTTCTTTTGAATGAAAGCCAGTTAATAGACCTAGAGAATGGCATTGTGAATTCTATATTCCAGCGTTCCTCAACTATACCATGGATTTTGCTAGAGTGGAATCTACRCAAGTTCATCTTGGCCTCTCTTTATGTTTTTAGAGTACTGCAGTTAAAATTACASTCTTCATAAAGTATAATTTTTAAGAGACCGATGCGTAAGCTAAAAGGAGAAACAAATATGTCCATTAGTTTTGGGGAAAAAAAATCTTGCCTGAGTGAGCTCTGTTTTAATTCTCACAAGAATATGGCATTTCTGTTGTCATAACCATTTACAAAAGTACCAGGAATGAGGCGCTCAATAAGTAACTTTCATCTCTAAATAAACTGTTTAAAAATGTAGATACAGTATTTAAAGCGTGAGCGCAATAGGCTCAATAGAGACTTTGATTAAATGTCATATAAACTAAACTACATATGCCTGCATAGAATAGTAGAAGTAGCTCCAAATGGTTCCGTTAAGTGTACGAATGTTCTGATGATTATCTTTTTAATTAAAATGAGAAATCTTTGTTTAAAGTGGCATTCTTTTTTTACGGCCTGTTACAGTCTCCGTAACAATCATTTCTTAAGTCTGAACGTTTTTAATTCCAGGAATCCATTTATATAAAACTATGTTTAGACTTAATTAAGGAATGATTCTTACAAAGCTTGTAAATAGCCAAGAAAAAAGGGACAGAAAATAAAACTGACATTCACACTTAACAAAACGATTGTTACAAGGTATGTAATATGCTATAAAAATACAATAAAGCCCTTTTTATAAGAGTTCATATTTTTTGTTCCTCATTTTGAAAGGTATTTAAGAAAAATATCAAAGCTCTATGAAGCAACATCTGTTTTCTTGAATGGACTAGTGACAACTTCTGTTGTATTAAATTAGCAGTGCTCAGATCTGCACCTGACCGGTTTGAATCCTGTACAGGATGACTGGGAAGGCAGTTAACTTAATGTATACTGAAGTTTCCCTTTCTCCTTCTAAGTTTTTTATTGAATGAACCAGTCGGCGGCACTTCCTTTACTTCCCTGGCTTGTGGATAAGGTAAAGTTGACGTTAGCAATTCTTCTAAGTGGCTTAGCCCTCAAATGAATATTTCCCTTTTTTGGAGAGAAACGTGATTCTGAAAGGTCCTACTGGCCTTCCAGTTTCACAGGAAAACCAGAACACTCCTTTAAGATGCTTTTTTTTTTTCTTGGAAGACAAAAGAAAAAGAGAAAGCGATGAAATTTCTTAACTGATAATCTCATGTTCTGCTGATAGTTATGTGGAAGTTATTGCAATATAGCAAGGAATAGTGATAAAGGACTAATTTTTTTTTTCTTCTCTTTCTGCTTAGGGAAGTGACAGATAGAAAAGGTTAGTGCAAACAGGACCTCTCTGTGCTGTGGGCTCATAAATTCAATGGTGTCAGTAGAATTGACTTTTAAAGATCTAGAACTTCCCAGCTATTGTTTTAAAACTTTGGTTTGAGAACCTTAAAATCTTCCTTAGAACGTATTTATGTTCTCATTTTGACAAGAGGCACCTAAAGCCAAGAAATGTAGAAGTAATGAGAATAGCAGCATAGAGTTACCTGGCAAATACGAAGTTGCAAATCCTGCTTGTGAGTATTAAGCTTTCTGTAACAGTACTACTCTCTCTGATAGTTCTGAAAAAAAMCAGCCTTTTAAATTGAGGGTTGGTGGTATGTCTGGAGGAAAAATGTTCATCTCTGGTTTCTTCCCAAATATCTTTGTGTTGTTGATCTTTTAATTAATTATTTATTTCTCCCTGTAGTTGGTGCAGGCCTTAGGTACTTTAGTAACTTCACKTTTTTATTTTTAGTAATGTTTCATTTCAGCCCCTGTGTTCCATTAAATGTATGCAATTAGAAAAGCAAATGGCAGTTTTTTATAGCATCACTAAAGTATTTAGTTTTGTAGGACTTAAAAAGCAGAATTTGTTGCACCATGCTCTCCCCACTATTATATGTGCTATAAACATCAGAGAGAATAGGCTGACCTTAATATTTGCTCCCCAGACTAAATCGCCGCCTTGCAGCAGTTATTTCCCACTGAATAAAAAGTTTAATTTCACGCCCTGATTAGTGCTAGTATGTGCAGGTGGATATTTATTTTGTGCAGCTAAACTAATCTGCCTTGGCAAATAATTTGCCAGTCAGCAGAGCTATAATTCCTCACGAGTATTTGGTACTAA